ATAAGGAAAACTATATCTATATACCTATTAAGAAAGTATACTTCTTATAGAGTAAACTTCTTAAGTATATTACTAAGTATACTAAAGTTAACTTTAATATACTAATAGTACTATAATAGGTTATTCTTTAAAATAATATTATTTTATAAGAAGAGGTTTAATCTATTATACTTAAAATAGGTAATACTATATTAGAAGTTAATAGAATTATAATAGTAATACTTTAAGTAGTATAGCTATATTTATAATATATTATTATTATATTTTATTAGTAGTATATAGAGATTAAGTATTACTTTAAAATCTTCTATAATACTAAAGTAGTAATAATACTAAAAATTAGTAGAGATATTAATACTTTAAAAAGCTAATATTTAATTTTATTATTATTAATAATTAGTAAGGGTTTAGAGAGACTTTAAATAAGAAGAATAGTTAATATTATAGTTTAATATAAGGTCTTATACTTATAAGTTATAGGAGTATTACTAAAGAGATCTAAAATAGATATAGTTAGTTTATTTATATATAATATTAAGGTAGTAATAGATAGATAACTTATATATATCTTAATTACTATAGATATTTAAGGTACTTTTAATTTAGTAGTTTATATCTATCTCTACTTATATATAAGGGAATAAAGCTAATTACTAAATTTAGTTAGATAAGTTAAGTCTTTTATAACTTAAAAATAGGCTAAAGTATACTTTAAGAACTATATTATAGAGATAAAGTTACTTAAATATAAGTTACTATAAAGTTTATTTACCTCTTCTATTTTTTATTTTATTTATATAGCTTTAATCTATAAAATTAAGCTTTAAGAGTATAGATTTAGTTATATAGATAACTATAGAATCCTCTATATAGGGAAAACTTTAGAGGAAAGTTATAATATTATATAAGAACTATTAAACTAAACTATAGCTTTTAAAGAGTAGTATAAAATATATTTTAACTTTATTAAAATAGAGATATAATATTTCTCCTAATAAAAGGAGGATTATAAACTTATAATTACCTATAAGGAGTATATAATTACTTTAAAACTTACTATAAAATAGTTTAAGGTTTAGCTTAATAGTAAACTAAGTTTTAAGTACTATATTAAAGAGAAAGTAAATATAGTATAAGCTATTACTAACTATATTAAGAGTTTAAATAAGGTTTATATTAATATACTATTTTATATTATAAGAAAGGTAATATATATAGTAGCTATTTCTAAAACCTTATTTAGCTTAGAAATATAATACTTTAGATTAAATAAACTTATAGTAAAATAGAAGAATAAAATATAGTTTAAAGTATAATATAGTTTATAAAACTAAGTTAATAAACTTTAAATAGTACTTAATACTACTATAAGAGGATATATACTAGCTTAGAAAACTATACTAATTCTTATACTTATATAAGAATCTAATATACTACTAATAGAATACCTCCTTAACTTAGTTTAATAGAGATATTTCTTAAGACTTAGAACTTTAGATAAAAACTACTTATTAGTTATTTAAGTAACTAGCTATAAGCTATAGAGAAATAGAGGTAATACTATATAATTTACTAACTTTATAGACCTCTTATTAGAAATTATTAAGTTTCTTAGATTAATCTTCTATTTATAAATATATAGCGATAAACCTTATTTACTAAAGCTAAATAAAGAAGAAGCTATTATAAAATATTAAGAGTTACTAAATATACTTAATAATAATTAGTTAATTATCTATATAGATAGATTATAACTATAACTTATATAAATAGGATATAGTTATATTATATTTTATAGAGGTAAAGTTATCTATATAAGCTACTACTTACTACTAAATATAAAGGTATATAATACTAAAATAGAGGTTATTAGAGCTAAATTATAGGTTACTATATAGTTAAACCTAATAGATAGTATTATAATATACTTTAATAATAAAGTAGTAATATATTACTTTAGAGGAGCTTCTACTACTTCTTTATAAAAAGTTATACTTAATTTTAGAGAGATTATAGTAATAATACTAATACTAATTAAAGTCTAATAAGTCTTAAGATATAAGGATATTAAAGGAAATAAGTTAATAAATAAACTTACTAAGAAAGGTATAAAGTATAAATAAATAGATCTTTTTATATATATAGCTACCTTTAGCTATATAAAGAGACTTATTAAAAAATTAAAAGCTTATATTTTTAATATCTAGTAAGCTATAAATAGCTTAGCTAGTTATAATAAACTAAAGTTATATACTAATTTAAAACTAACTCTTAAAATATAGATATTATATTAATAAGATTTATACTATCTTATAGTAGCTAGAAGTAACTATAAGGACTTTATTACTTACTATAAATATTTCTAATATAAAAATATAAAGCTCTACTATACTTATAATAAATATAAGATATTAATATATTTACTTTTCTATAGAAAGAACTAATATAAAGTACTTTAATTTAGCTAATATAAATTTATTTAGAAATAATTTAGTAAAAACTAAAAGAAATTTATTAAAAATATCTAATTATTATAATAATAAAATTATATACTATATAATATAGCTACTCTACTTAAACTTCTTAATACCTCTAACCTTTATATAAGGCTTAAGCTAATTAAGTATAACTAGATTTATTAGTTACTATATAAACCTATTTCTCTTTACTTTAAGAATATAGTTAATATAGAGATATACTCTTTTTACTTTAAAAAATAGATACCTTAATATAAAGAGCTAATTATAATTTAGATTTATATATTATATTATATTATTAATACGATTT